AAGCATACTTTGTTACCGTTGCGATCAGCAAGGGTTTTGGACACGGTCCTAGACTTACTTTTTCCGTAAACAACTTAGTTTAGAAAATACTCCTTTCAGTAATAATGTTACATGTCAATTGTGACCTGATCAAAATTTTGAAATTCAAATAGAACTACCATAATTTAAGTAGTAAGTAGTTAAAGACTGTTCCAGGTTGTTATTAAATTTAAAAAAAAAACTTTTCTCATGTTATTTTTTGAGCTTTTAATTGAAGATTTTTATTGAAAAGGACTTAAACACTTGTCATCTTCTTTCATCATTGTCACTTCCATATCTAGAAAATTCCAAGGATTTTGACTGGAATACGTGATGAAGGGACTCCTGACTGTAACCTCGGTTACTATGATAATTTTGACCTTCTGATTATCTTGCGAAAAAAAGAAGAAAGAAATTTTTTTTTTCTATAACTGAAAGTTCAGTAATTACTAGTTTTAGCAGGTCTGATTTTGGGTTTTTTCTTCATTTTTAAAATAGTTTAAGCTGTTTAATTTTTTGAATAATTATTTTTGTTTTGCGTATTTTCGAGGGCGAAAATAATCGCATAGGGTTTTTATAACTTCAAACAATTTCAACACCTTTTTCAGTACAAAATTTGTCATTTACGTATATTTCGAACATTTTATTTCATTACTACAAGGCGAACATTCAGGTAGTTTACGGCAGAATTCATAGTACCATACTACATCAACCAATTGGTTGGTACTCGACATAACTTTTGTTTTGACAGCTGGCATGAAAACTCTTTTTTCACATTACTATTCCAAACATTTTTTAAACTACATTTTCGACAGTTTTCAGATGTTTTCTTTTGTCATTTGCTTATTGCAGTCGTTTTCTGCTTGAATTTTCCCCAATAGTTTAATGCACTCAAATGCTGGTCAGTTGTACGGCCAGAGATGCACTCATGGCCAACCTAATTTTTGGATGATGCCATTTTCAGTTCCTTTTGAAAGGCGTTTCAAGACGTATTTTAAAGGCAATTCAACGCATTTAAATATCTTTTCTGAACCAATTCATTGATGATTAAATGACAAAAGCAATGACATTGAAAAGTTGTTAACTCAAATTTTTTTTATTGAAGTATTCAAACTGATTGAAATATATTAAGTTAACCCTAGAACTTTTGAAAAAGGTGTGCAAATTGGGAAAAACATCCGTCATTTGTTGGAGAGCAAAATATGCCTTGCTGCCTATTATATTTGATGCCTATCTATCTATCTATATCTATCTATCTATCTATACTATTTTTAAATGCGAGTGACAGCTATCTCCCATGTTTAAGCATGATAATTTTGCATATTTAACGAATGAGTTTTTTCCTGTTTAAGCTATATCATATATTGCAATGCTTAAGAAAGTTTTCAATTAGTTTTCCACAAGGTCATTAATTTTCAGTAATTTTTTTGTGAGGCCAAATTAAGTCTGTCTGTCTGTATACCTGCTTTGTTAAATAATTTTATCATGTCTGTCTATCCGTCTCATAATTTTGTAACTTTCATCTATCTATTATACATTTATATTTATACGGGCTTAATATTTCGCCATGTTTAGGATTTTTAAACGTGTTATTTTTGCATGTTTAACAAATGAATTTTTTCACGTTTTTTAATCAAATTTGAAATCAACAACCTAATAGTGGGATGTTGTCAGAGTTTTCCCAGGTTTTGCGATTCTGGCCTCCATATATGAATAACCAAATCCTTTTAGTGTACGAGATAGGCAATTTTCGAGATTCTTTAAAATTTTCTAGAAAAATTAATTTTAAAAAATTTCTCAATTTTTGAAATTCTCACCCTGTAGTTGGGCGTTTTCAGGGTAATCTCAGGGGTTGCGAATCTTGCCTCCAAATCTCACTTCTCAAATCGTTGTAGTTTTCGAGATATGACGTTTTTTTATGATGTCAAAAACTTAGACTTTGAAAAATTCCAAAACGTTGAAGATCTCATTCCTGTTGTTGGATATCGTGAAGGTACTCCTAGGGGTTGCGAATCTTGCCACTGAATATGGCTGCTCAAATATATGTAGTTTTCGAGATATGACGCTTTTTAGGATTTTCTCAAAATTTTTCAATGAACTTAGATATGAAAAATTTCACAAAACTTGAAATTATCATCTATGTAGTCAGGCTTTGTCAGGGTACTCTCAGAAGTTGCAAATTTTGCCTTCAAATATGGCTGCTCAAAACCTTACAGTTTTCCAGATATGACCTTTTTTGTGATTTTTTCTTTTTTTCAAAAAAAATTCAAGAAAATTAAATAATTTTTTTTCAAAGTTTGAAGTTTCTAACCTGTAGTTGGGGGCAGTCAGTAATCCCAGGAGTTGCAAATTCGGCCTCCAAAAAAGAATGCCTGACTAATTTTAGTTAAAGAGATGAGACGATTTTTGAGATTTTTTTGGAAGTTGTAAGAAAACTCAAATTACAAAATAATTCATAAAGTGAAATTCCCAACCCTGTAGTTGTGTGCTGTTAGAGTACTTTCAAAGATTGCGAGTATTGCCATCAAATAAGACTGCTGAAATCTTGGTAGTTTTCGAGATGTGAAATTTTTTCTGGTTCTCAAAAATACCTTTTTTGCGAAAACTGAAGGTGAAGTTTCTCAAAATTTGAATTTGTTGTAGTTGGGTACTATAAGAGAACTCTCAAAAGTTGCCAATCTTGCGTCCAAATGCGACTCAATTGCTTTTAGGTTCCAAGATGTGACGTTTCTTAGTTCATTTTAAATTTTTCGAAGAACTTATAAAAAAACTTATATTATGGTTCTTCAAAATTTGTATGAAAAACTTGAATAAAAAACTTTGCAACTTTTGCAATTACGAACCTTGTAATTGGGTGTTGTCAGAATACACTCAAAGAATGCAGATCTTTTTGTAATATATGCGGTTTATTATGAGTACCGGAGGTGCTTTACACGCTAGTCATATTTATTTTATGAGAACTTTTTGTTGGCAAAATTGAACGCAGGTTCAATTTTTTATGCTCTAAAGCTCCTAATTTTAAGAACAGTTTTGGACACCTAATAAGAAATTTACCAATTCTATTCCATCGACCGATTGCAAATCATCTGAACTACCTTCCTTGAAAGTCTCAATTTAAAGAATCTTCGAGGTTTTTCTGGGTCTGAAAAAGCCCATTTTCACCATTTTTAATACATTTTCTATAAGAGTGAACACTTTATCGAATAAGGTAAAGAGACAAATTTGATCATGCGTTGTGACTTCTTTAAGACCACAAATTTGCGTTGTTCATTGTGACTACTTTACTAAACTCTCATTGTTTCTTATAATGTCACACCTTATTTTGAAAATTATTTTAGATGGGGAAATATTGCATTTCAGACCCAGGAAAAACATTATCTGCGTGTAAATATTGTAAACCTTCTTAAGTATTGGGTTTTTTTGAATATAACTATTTCTTTGCTATAACTGAAAGTGCATAGCAAAGCTATAACTGAAAGTCTGATTTTGCATATTTTTTTTTTTCATTTAAATGTTTAAACAATTTGTTATTCCGCATAAGTCAACATATATTGAATATTTTGGGGTAAAATAAGTTTGCATAGGATTATGTGCTTCATCATGATTATCAACACTTCATAAAATTTTTTATGACAATAATTGTTTTCGGCTCAACAGGCTTGGGCCAAAAATTGCCGCCTTTGTTGGCGCTCGGTGATTGGTTTCCAATTGTTTTTTAAAGGCTGTTTTTCTAATTTCATCCGATTCATTTATGATTTTTTTTGTTAAATGTAGTTATTCAAATTTTTTCAAGTTATAATTTCATGTATTTTTTACCCTTGCGATAAGCAAGGGGTTTGCAACGCGGTACTAGACTTTTTAACCCGCAAACAACTTTGTCCGCAGGACTCATCTGGAAGTCTGGACTCATCTCTACCTTGTTTCATAATGTAATAAAATTTCTTAGCGTACCTGGCCAAGTTAGCGTGGAGGAAACGAATATGCCTGGGACGGTAAAGGTCCAGGGTTCGAGTCTGACAAGGATGTGTTTTTCAAACGGAAAATATTGTTTCAAAAAAAAATGTCGGGCAATTTTTTGTCTGCTTATCTGTTGTCGGCTTAGTTGCCACATCCGGGAATTGTTTTTTTTCTACGCGAATTTTTGGAATGTTGTTTTTTGGTGTTTGATTTACACCTGCATTTTGTAATTTTATTTATCTTGACTTCATATTTCCTTCGTTTTTTTTGTTTCGCTAAAAAAATTCCTCGGCCAAAATTATTTGGCCGATTTTTCCATCGGTTTATTCACCTAATTTTGGGACGTTTGAATATCAACGCAATTTCAGCACTCCCCTCCGCATTTTTCAAGTTAGTTGTTTGTTTTCCAATCTATTTGTTGACATTTCAATTTTTTCATTTTGGAAAATTTTTTCTCTTGCAAAATTTTTAGTCTTTTTTTTCTAACTTATTCAGATTTTATAGAAAGGAGTATCAATTGAAAGGCCGCTTATTCCTCTGTGTGCCTGCATACTTCCCTAGAGTCTTTCTTACTTGACCCTTCTGTTTACAGCCTTCGAAAAAGTGTGGGGGAATATTTGACAAACTACCCCGTTCGAATATGAGATTTTGGTTTCAATGGAAAGAACTGTTTTGAAAAGCTCCCCTGCACAAGTAGCTACGACCAATTTTCTTCGCACGTAAAGTTATGGCCCTTGGAATAGTCCAATTTTTGATTTTGAATGTTTTGTTGAGATTCTAGTGTTTCGTTCAGGTCCTATCACACCGCGGAGAACAAACGACATTAATTTGAAAAAAAGTGTGTATATTTCTTGGTTACATAGCAGTATTAAGACAACCGCGTATTCACACTCGTCAGTCTTTAGACAAATACTGTTTCAACCAATCAGAATCGAGACAAGTAAGAAATTAATAAATAATTATTATTTATTTTGGATTATTTATGTCTTTTCTCGATTCTGATTGGTTCATACAGTATTTGTCTGAATACTGACGAGTATGAATACGCGGTTGACTAAATACAGGCTGCACTCCATATTTCTTAAAAGACAATTACTCGGAATATTTATGCACTTAAATTGGCAAATGAGATTAGCACATTTTGTGCTACTTGTACATTAAAGACTATCTTTTTTATTTGACATTAGTGAATAAAAAACAGCTCGAAATACCCTTACAGATTGAAGATGTTTCAACTGGCAAATTATGTTTTTTTTAATTATTCAAAAGTTGATTCAGAGTGTAATGGCTATAACAGATCCGTCCATTGAAAATAGTGATGTTGCTAAACGGCAACGTAAACTTGTGAAAACTTGTCTCCAGTTTTTCGAAACCTCGGATGCAGTGTATTGGGCAGATAAACTCGTGTCTCTAACTTCTTATCATTTGGAAGACGTATATCTCTTATGTAGATCCTTGTTTGCTGACAAACAATATAAGAGGTGTGCCGTATTGATTAAAGACAATTCTCTCGAAGCGGAAATACCAGCTTTCAGATTACTCGCTGCAAGGTGGGTGTTATTGATGAGAACATTGATTGTTCAGACTCGAAACGAAAAGGAGCAAGGGTTCAAATGAATACAAAATCAGGCACACGAAACAAGCACTAATGTTTATAAGTGGTGATTTTTTTCAGCTTAAATCCTTTTTAGCTAAAATTCTATCGATATCGTGGTCGAATAAATTGAGTTGAAAGTAATGGTTTCAGCCGATGTTAGAGCAAACAATTTTTGTGCAATAGCCAATTTAAATAGTGAAACTGGCAAAAATTTTCTCAGTAGAGTCGTCAGTAGTTTCCCTCCCCATATGAACCAAATGGACCAAAATTTGAAAACTAGTGGTTTCCACATGTACTCAATCCAGGAAAATGCTATGTTTTTTTTGCAAGTAATAGCTTGTTACGAGCTAATTTTGCACGGCATGACGGCTTTGTTTTTGAGTTTTGTGGCTAGTTCATTTTTTCGATGAGAACTGAACTTAATTAGATTGTTCTCAGGCTCATTTGTTACATTTTGTCAAACTGCAGGTGTCATTTCGAACTGAATGAATGGGAAGAAGCACTATCTGTATTAGAGGGTGGAAACTACAATTGCTTCTCAGCTACGGGGAAGCCAAATCTACGAAGAACAGTTAAAACATCAAACAGAAACACTGATTGTATTGACTGGGGAATGAGTCATTCGCAGATTAACAGCAGAATACATCTTCTCCTGGGAAAGGTATTGTTTGTTGCTTTGATAAAGGCAAACATAGCTTTCATAATCATTTCTTTGAAGTTTACGTTTCATGGTGGTTTGTTGTATGTGACTTAACGTCTAGGGTTTTTACCCTTGTGATGAGCAACGGTATTGCAATCGGGTGCTAGACTTTTTTCCCGTAAACAACCTTGTCCACAGAATCACTTCTAGAGGATCTCCTCTTCTAGAGGACCTTCTGACATGCTCATTTTCTTGAAAATTCAAATAAATGTGTAACCTAGCTAGTAAATAGTTCAAGCCGGTTTCAGGTTGAAATTATCTTTTAGAAAATAATCATTTTTTTGGGCTTGTGGTTTTCGTCCTAGTTTCTGTCGGTTCAATTTCCGCTTTTTTAAGTACATTTTCTTATCTGGTAGGGGTTTTTTGGTTTATTTTTTAAAGCATGGGTTTTGTTCCAATTTTAATACTACTACTAATGCGTTTATTGTCCGTTTTCCCATTGTGGCTTGGTTGGAAGTCCGGAAAGCGTGTAAGCAATGGTTCAGATGAGGGCATTCTGAATAGCATTCACGCAATTAAATGGAGGATAACACGTTTTTCCATGCCATTCGATCAAGGCAGTCGTGGATTTGAGGCCTAAAGTATTCCGGTCTCGTTTAACACAATCGAATCAGCGTTTTTTTCGGCCTTCCTGCTGGTCTTTTCCTGGGATTGTTAAATTCTTGTTCAATAGTTTTAACTATAACTGAAATTTCACAAATTTGTTAATTTACTATGTCTGATTTTGATTTTTTTCTTTTTGATTGTTTCGGTTCATAGGGTATCTGCTAAGGTATTTTTCGACTTGGCTGGTATTTTTTTTCCGATTTTCAAAATCTATTTTTTTCTATTCATTTTGATAGATCAAGTATATTCGTCAATTTCTATTTTTTTCGGACTTAGCGGCTTTCTTGTTCTGTATCGCAAGTGGTGCGAAGCTCAGCTTTGCCTTTGTTCCAAAGCGTCTTTCTGTTATATAGGTTTACGAAGCTATTGAAAACCGCGAGTTGGCTGAGAAGAATTTTCGCGAGTCTCTGAAGTTAGATGTGTTCACCCATGACGCCTTTGAGCGACTGACAAAGCATCATTTGCTTACAGGGGTTAGTTGAATTGTTCACTAGAAATAGTTCAAGTTTTTTTATTTAATAAGTTAAAAACTTAACCAGTAAAGAAATAACAGTAAATTTTCTGTTAGCAAGAAGAAGAAGATCTATTCAACAGTCTACCATTTCACGAACAGTGTTCCAGCGATGAATGTGCCAAACTTGTCAAATTCTTGTACGAAAGCAATCTCAAAAAATGTCACAAAGTGTCGAAAACAGTATCAAAAACTTTGCAATCAGTTTCACCTCAAATCTCTCAAGCCCTGTGTAGGTAATTTATTTGCCGAAGTCTTCAGTCGTATTTTATCATTTAAGTCATTGCATGTTTTAATTTTAGCTGAGAATAACGAAGTTAAGACGAGTTACGCCGAAAGACTGTTCTTCAATAACGAGTTTCATCAATGCTATGTCAGAACAAAAGAGATTCTCAAGTCCGATCCAATGTTTAAACCGACATTGATGTTACATATAAGTGTTTTGGGTAGGTTCAGCTATGGTTAAAGCGCTATTTGACTAATTAAAGCAAGGAAAATTTAAAATAGATAAATTTGTCAACTCTAAATTGGTTTGAAAATCAGAAATTTACGCCGCATGTATATTAAACGCTATTTTATGAAACTGACGCAAATTTAGATTTTATTTTTTTGATTTTTTAGTGGAGCTGAATAAAAGCAATGAGTTGTTCAGCTTGGCTCACAGCCTGATAGACGTCCACCCCGAGTACGCAGTCTCCTGGCTGGCAGTTGGCTGCTACTATTTTCTTATTGGAAGACAAGACCCGGCCAGGCGATTTCTAAAGAGAGCAATTTCTATTGACAATATGAATGGACCCTGTTGGCTCGTCAATGCGCACTCCTTCGCCGCTGAAAATGAACATGATCAGGTAAATTATTGCAGGTCATGTGTAGTTATTAAAGGCCAATTTTAATGTCACTTCTGTTTTCAATTTCTTTTTGAAGTTTTCTAATTGGCTATGTTTAATATAATTAGCTATATCGGCTTTATTGAAGAGTATTTATTACTACCTCACAATGTATCAGAGTAATATATCAGGGTAATATATTAGAGTATATGAAAAAGTGGTTTCGACTGATTCTCTTAGGTCCGTGGTTCAAATCTCGTTGAATGTTCAGAGTGTTTGCAATTTGCAGCTGTGTTTCTTTCAAATCGTAGTTTCTTGCGTGCTTCAGATGTTTTTTTGTCAGTTTTGTGTTGTTTGTGTTTGCGAAGGGCAGCTTCGTCTCTGTGCGGGTCTCTTTCAACCTTTGTTTTGCCGCAAAGAATAATTCTGTAATTCTTGGTAAATTTGATTGGACTGGCTGTTTTTTTTTGTTCAGGCTATGGCAGCCTACTTCACAGCTGCGAAACTGATGCGTGGCTTCCATCTTCCCTCTCTCTACATTGGTCTGGAATACACAGTGACTAACAACTTGACCCTGGCAGAGAAGTTCACTCGCGAGGCACTGCACATAGCACCAGAAGATCCAAATGTGCTGCATGAACTGGGAGTCATTCTATACAATAAAGGTACTGGAAGTTGGCTCTTTTCCAGTTTCCCATCCCTCTCGTAAAATATCAAAATAAAGCTGTTCAAAAATGTTCACACGACACGTTTTAAACCTTTTCATAACATGAAAAGTCAATTTTATTCGATTTTCATACATTGAATTTCAGAAAAAATCAAAGGGGAACTGGAAAAGTTTGGATTTAATATTCAGCCTGTTTAAACCGAGGTTTTGACTAGAACTAGGATTTTTGGATCAGGGTAATTTCTTTCAAAATGACTAGTAATGTCTATAATTCCGATCAAAAGTTGTTAGACATTGAAATTGTTCTGTTCTTAATGGGGAAGGTGAAATCATGTATTTTTTTGTCAACGAAGGATAATTCGGATATTCTGGTATAGTGTGTGTGTATGTATTTGTGGGTGTTTTTGAGTATATTATAACGCGTGAGCTTCAATACCTGAAATTGATTTGCTGGCTCCAGTATATTTTTCAACAAAATTGTAAATTAAAAAGCTTGATGAGTAATGAACGTAATGAGTACTCTTAAATTGGTCTTGCTGATTTTTTTCAGGAAAAAGTCTTAAAATTTGTTCATGCTCAGCTTTGATTTTCCGCAGTTTGACTTCAGCGGAAAATCTGTTCAGTGCATTTCCATTGTTAAAAGGAAGGCAAACTCAACTATCAAACAGCAAAAGCGTAAAGATTACGAAAAACGTGATCGACTTCTGATTTCCAAAATGGAAATTAACTATCAGATTTCCCAGCTAAATAAAAATTTACGTATTGATCCAGTTTTTACACTTGCGAAGGGAGTGTAATAGTACGAACCTTTTTTTTCCAAACTAAGTCGCAAATATTGGTGCGGCATTCCAATAATGCTGGGGCACCTTTTCAGCTTTTTGATAGCATGTGCTTTGAAATTCGATTAGTAATAAGTTAACACAGTTGATGCTTTGTTAATTCATCAAATGCACCGAAAAAAGTGATTTGATTCAAACATCATAAAAATAATGAAAACTCGATTTCAGACATTTTCTTACTCAATATATCTCGCTTTTTTTTGTAATGCATAATTTATACATAATGTGGTTTTATGCCTTGCGCTTTGTTACATGCAAAGTTAGTGTGGATCCCTTCAGTTAGTCATATTCCAAATTATAACATGCAAAATTGAGTCTATTTGTATTTGGTGCCACTTTTGCTGAATTGCATCGGCAAGTTATTAGCATATTTAGCTGCTTTACTCGTGACTATTGTTTGTCGGTTGTTAAGCTTGCGTGGCTGAGTGATAGTGCGTGCGGCTCAAAATCTCTTGATTGCAGTAGGTGGCAGATTCGAATCCTGCACTTAGCCGAGTTTTTGCCAATTCGAGGCCTCTTTCTACTTTTTTTTACTTCACTTGATAGAGCTGCTTTTTGGTCGTGTTCTCGCAAGTGTTTGCGAAGCGCAGCTTCGCTTCTGTCTGAAATTGGGTTAATTTCAACAAAAAAAGTTTCGAAATCAAAAGTTTAAGGCTCTTGAAAAAACAAGTCAGTTTTTTCAGTTTCCTTGTGTTTGTTACTCTTTTCCAACTGTTAGTCGGCTATGTTTTTGAATTTGAAGTTGACCGTATTTGTAGTTGATCTTTTGTGTTTATAGGTGACATGGACGGAGCTGAAAAGTGTATGCTAGTTTCAATGCAGAAAGTTGACGAATTACAAAGCGAAGTTCCTTCGTCCAAATGGCAACCTCTTCTAAACAACCTCGCTCACGTCTATCGCGCAACAGGAAAGTACAATGATGCTGTTCAACTGCACGAACGTGCACTTAACCTAAATCCTAACAGTGCATCAACCTATTCTAGTCTGGGATTAGTGCACTGCTATTTGTTCAACTGGACTGAAGCAATTGGCTGTTTTCACAGAGCGCTTTCGTTCAAGCGAGAAGATGCGTTTACTGTAGCTATGTTGAAAATAGCTCTTGAGAAATCGATTTCATCGCCAAACTCTTCAAGCGTCGTCTCTAAGTTCGAAGAAGTCAGCTTGGATAAAATTAAGTAAACTCTGTTTTATGGTTTCATTCGAGTTATTTTCAAATAAACATGCAAGAATATAAAATTGTTTAGCTAAATAAAACCTGTTTCCAATACTACAATAAGAAAAGTAAGAATACTACAGTAAGAAATAAAAATAGGGTGTATTCTCCGAACTCATATAAGGACGGGGTCTTATCTTCAAATTGAAAATTTCTCCAAAAACATTTTTTTGCCGTGTTTTTGGTATTTTTACCAGCAAAAATGCGAGATTTACATAATCTCTCGTGGTAACAAATGATTAACACTTGAGCTTAAAAAAACCTAAATCCCGAGCAGTTATCCTGTTTTTATTTCCTCAAAAATCAAAACTTCATTCGAGTTATGACATCGGCGAACTTCAGGTTAGGACGGCCGGAGCTTAAACATGAAGGAGATCTAGATGACTTCAATTTAACATGTGAAATTCAGAAATCTAATAGTGATGCAGCGTTCCAAGGTCAGCAACACGAACGAGTATCGGCTGCTAGTTTCATTTCCAATAATTCCTTGTTTTCCGAAGGAGACCAAACACGGCATCAACAGTCGAGTTTAATGGACTTGGATGACTCTATATGAAATGAAAAATGCTAAATTTGAAAGGCTCATATTCAGTTCAGTTTTGCAGTTGTATTGTAATCGTTGAAAAACCTCATGATGGATATTTGTTTTTGGAGGAAAACCTATATTTGACCTTTACCGATGCGTAATTGCAAAATTTTATGTAAAAAACAATTTATTTATGATTAATAGTGAGAGCTTGTAATAGTTGACTCAAATTGTTGTTTGGTTTGAAATAGTATTCAGAATTGATTTTTGAAAATAACGGTTATTTCGGTCCTTTCAGTAGTAAACAGATAATGAAAATTGCGCAGATATATTCAACGTGATAGTTCAAAACAAGTTAGTCCTTAAGAAAACAGTTTTTAGCCAAAAGTAGCACTATTAAACTTATGACCAAATGAAAATTGCTCTCTTTCAAGCTACCGTATCTCATGTAATATCCTGTCATTCTAACTTTTATTTAATACTCTGAACATAGTTAAGTCTCTTTTATAGCCTTAAAGTCTTATAGTTTTAAATATAATGTTAGTCATAAAGTTTGTTCAGGCTCAAATTTGATTTTTAGCGGGTTCTTGTTTGATTTCTATTTGAATTCAGTTCATTTCCTTTGTTAAAAGAAAGGAAAACTCCACCATCGAACAGCAAAAGTGTACAGTTCACGAAAAGTTGGAATTTACTTATCAGATTTCCAGCGAATTAAAAGTTTTACTTATTGTTCCAGTTTTCTTGGGTTAATTTTATCAAAAAAGTGGCAATCATAAGTTGTTCTAGAGGTTCAAAGAGCTTGAAGGCCTTCTTTCAAATTAGTAAAGTGTCGTTTTTTCAATAATCAAGTCAATATTTTCTGTTTACTCTCGTTCCTTGACTCTTTCCCAATTGTCTGTTGGCGATGTATCATTTATCGTATGCCTTTTAACCTTAAATTCAATATGATTTCGCTACTCGAAAGTTTTTTTTGGTTTCCTTTTTTAAACTTGCGAGCAGCGTAGTGAATTAGTACGAACCTTCTTTTCTCTAACCTAACTCTCAAATAAAAGTGTTCACTTATTTGGCGGCACTTTTGCTATAATAACGATCTGTAGCTTTGGATATTTCTTAGCATCTGTTCGCTGCTTTATTTGTGGCTGTGTTTGTGTTTGTGATATATTAAGCGTCCGTGGCTGAGCCGTTAGTGTGTGAGATCGAAGACGAGACGTAGCCGAGGATGGGTAACAACTAAAATATCGAGCACTATCCTTAGGATCCCTGCTGGCAGGTTATGCTCCTCGTACCAGGTACAGATGAAAGCCATCCAGATGGCATTGGTGTACACGAGCACCATAGACACGGTACCAGAGTGACCGTAATGACAGATTCGAAGTCAGCAATGGATAAACTCACCATAGGACCGGAAAACCGAGATCCGGAATGTGGCATCAAGGTCTGAAAATCCCTAAGTGATATCCAACAGACCACCTTCATCTGGGTACCGTCCAACTGTGGAGGGGCTGGCGACGAGAGAGCAGATCAGGCGGCAAACGAATCAGCAAAACTTCAGTAAGAGGACGTATCAGTAGCCCTAGATAAGTAGCATGCATCGGCCGCTATTAGACTGGAAAGAATAGCTAGAGACATAAATTTTTATGGCGAATACGATAAACTAAGGCAGATGACAAAAATCAAACACGGAAAAAACAGGCGAGAAGAGGTCACCACCAACAAGTTCAGGACAGGTCAACCATCACTATGCAAGGCCAACCTTGCTAGGATAGGGGCAGTTGGTTCAGTGGAGTGTCCAGGCTGCGAAAAGAGCACACTGTCAACCATGAATGATTGCCAACAAGGCGAGGAACTAAGAAGAAGAAGCCTTGGAGGACCTGATAAAGATCACTTCCTCATTCACCCTGGCGACCTCTTATAGCTCCTGCGGCGGATGGGGAGAGTGTATATTGAAACCGATGCGTCAGAGAACCTGTCATAGTTAGAAGACAGCCGAATTTTAATTAATTCGAGGCGTATTTCTACTTTTTCCTGATGCAATTTGTAGAATTTAAAAGCAGTTTTTTTTGTGTGTGTGATCTCGCTAGGGTTTGCGAAGCTTCGCCTCTGTGTACACTTTTCTAACTCTCCTTGTCGGCCGTTTTTAGTTTTTTAGGGGTTGTTCATGCTCATGATTGATTTTTTGCGGTTTGATTTCTATTTGAGTTTCATTCAATTTTTTTTTGCAAAAAAATGAAAACTTCTTTGAAAGTTTTGCGTTCAGATTGCGCTAAAATCGTAAATTGCTTCAAATTTTCAGTCTTCAATGGATTTAAGCTTTTTACAGTAAACATTTTTGAGTTCCTGACTTTTTCATTCTTCTAATGGATTAAGCTTTTTCTAGTAAACATTTTTGAATTCCTAGCTTTTGTAGTCTTCTAATGGATTTAAGCTTTTTCTAATAAACATTTTTGAATTCCTGACTTTCATTCTTCTAATGTATTAAGCTTTTTCTTGTAAACATTTTTGCATTCCTAGCTTTTCTAGTCTTCTTATGGATTTAAGCTTTTTCTTGTAAACATTTAGAATTCTTGGCGTTTTGATTATTCTTATAGATTTAAGCTTTTTCTAGTTAACATTTTTGAATTTATAGCTTTTCTAGTCTTCTAATGGATTTAATCTTGTTTCTAGTAACATTTTAAAATTTCTATATTTTTCAGTTTTATGGATTTGAGCTTATTGATAGAATTTTCCAGTAAAATTTGAGGTTTTTGAACTGATAGTTTTTAATTGAATTTTTTTTGGCTTTGTTTACATAATCAGTTTGTACATATTTTCAATTAATATAAAGAACAACAACCTGTTGATAAAAAGTTTTCACTATTGGACAATAATTTGGACATTTTTAATCCAGTTTTTTTGTTTTTATGAAGTTTTTGCTCCAATATAAGAATATGTAATTTAGGATCTAATCATTTTTTGCTGCTGTTTCTAAATGTTTTTTAATTGCTTTTGTCCCGACAAGTTCACGAAGTGACTGGAACGAACTATGACGTAGGGCTACTTTTTTGGGCAGATTTGATTTTTACAAAATAAGCTTGTTAGATAGCAAGCGTCGTACCATGCAGGAGGCATATATGTCATGATTGTGATTTCGTAAAAAGACTTAGAAACTGCTGTCTGTATAATTTCGTTATTCAGCTGTTTCTCGATTGAAAAGGATTGATTTACGCTTTATAAAAAGTTCTGTGAAATTTTTTGAAATAACATTAAGTTTTATTCAAGTTTTGTTCGACTTATATAGACTCTTCGAATTCTTATGTGTGGCAATATCAGTGACAATAATCTAAACTATAATTGAGGGCTACCATGGTGATCTGTTTCACTGTTGAAATGTCTCAGTGGAGAATAAATGGCAATTAAATTGAATTTGAAACCCCATTGAGAGATTATTATCCAGTTTCAATTGAATTAACTTTTACTGATAATTACACTTGCTAAGCTAGTGTATTAGTACGAAGCTTCTTTTTTTTCTAGCCTAAGTCACAAATATTGGTGCCACTTTTGGGGCATCTTTACAGCTTCTTCATAGCATGTGCTTTGACATCCGAATAGTAATAAATTAACACAGTTGATGCATTTTTAATTCATCAAATGAAACGAAAAAAGCAAGTTGTTTCAAACAACAACAATAATGAAAACTCGATTTCAGAAATTTCTAAATATTCAAATCAATATATATCGCAATTTTTTGAATTGCTTTATTTATACATAATATGGCTTTATGCTTTGCGATTTGTTGCATGCAAAGTTAGTGTGGATGTCTTCAGTTTGTTAATAATCCAAATTGTTCCTTGCAAAGTTGAGTCTATTTGTATTTGGTGCCACTTTTGCCTAATGGTTTGGTTATTTATTCGTGATTTGTGTTTGTCGATTGTTAAGCTTGACTGACTGAGTGGATAGTGCGTGAGATTCAAAATCTCTTGATTGCAGTAGGTCGCATATTCGAATCCTAAACGTAGCCGAAATTTTTCTAATTCGAGCCTTTTTTTTCTTATTTTACTTGATAGAGCTGATTTTTGGTCGTGTTCTCACAAGTGTTTACGAAGCGCAGCTTCACGTCTGTCTATATAATGTGAACTCAAATAGAGAAGCAAAACATGTAATATTGACATGAATCAATTCTTGTGTTATTCAGCATATGATAAGTTGGGTTAAGTTACGTTGGAATATAATGATGTCGTGCTTCCGATTCTATCAGAGAAGAATTTCTCCGCCTCTCAACTTAGTTTCGGTATTTGGAGACCCAACGTTGTCTGTGCCCATTGCTTGAGGCTGATGTGATTTCTTGCTGATCAGGAAGTTAATCAATAAATGCTTGATTAACAGAACCCAAGGTCACACTGTTGTCAAGAAGGACAGTAACGGTTCAACTACTCGTAAGGACGTAGCCTCTACTCATTTGCTTCGTATTTATTAGAGATTTAAATACAGATGTCGCATAAAATTTAAAACAGAGCCACGCGACTTGGGTTCTATAAAAAAAATAGGGTTATTTACTCCCTGTCAAAAGGTGAAAATTCTGACAGAAAGGTCATACTACAGCTCTCTCATTGCATCATGCTTTAAAGTGGGTCGAAGTGTCAATGAATGAAGTGAAGACAATCATTACTCTATTGCTGTGATTTTTTTCTTTGTTTTCCAGGAAAAAGTAAACGTTGTTCACGCTCATTTCTTTTGTGGTTTGACTGTTGATTCCTTAAGCACAATTCAAATTTGTTTGCTAAAAGGAAGCTAAATTCTGCCCGACCATTGCAAAAACTCGACGCGAAATTTTTTTTATTACCTTTGTTTTAAAAGGGCATTTCATTTTATAGATTTTCCAGCAAAATGAAATATTTTTTGTTGATCCATTTTTTGCTCATTTGGTGGCAATTTTGTTGCATAGCATTGGAAATACTATAGCATCTGTTTTTTTTTTGGTTGCTAGTGTTAGCCTAATGTCAAACGACCATAGCGCAGATGTGAGACTCGGAATCTCCAGGTTCGATTCGGGCGATAATCATAAGTTTTATTTTTCAAGCCTTTTTTTGGACTTTCATTATTTTATTTTTTCGAGCTACTTTGATGTTTTTTGCTCACACTGAGCTGATTTTTATCAAAAAGTTTAAAATCATTTTAACCTTGCGATAATCGAAAATAAGTGTTGGGAATAATTCAAATTCAATCAGTCATCCGGTGCATCTGGCATAGAGGTAACAAATCTGCTTCAGAAGGCAAAGGCTTGTGGTTCGAAACCGGCCGGGCCCTTATTTTTTTTTTGCAAAATTGAGTTTTTGAGCTTTTTCGGGCTATCGTCCGTCTGATCGTTTTTGGGCTATCGTCCGTCTGATCGTTTTTGCCGTCTTAATTCTCGTAGCTGGATTTTTTGAAGCTTCAATTTGCTTCTAAGATGTTGAAACACTCATGCTTGAAGGCAAATCCGAAGAGGTCGATTCTAGTCGTGTCTTATTTTTTGCAATTGGAAAGTTTTCTGCTTATTTATAACTTTGTCTGTCTGCTTATTTTTGCCGGCTTAGCTCCCACAGAAAGGACTTTTTGAAATTTCGGCTTCTGTCTAGCATTCCCAAGCTCCTTGTTAAGTTTTTAGTGGTTCAAGTAATTTTGTTCTGGAACTCTTTGGCTTTTCTTGCAATTTCTTTAATTTTTTTGAATTTCAAGTAAATTTTGACTTCCAAGTAATTTTCAAAAAAAGGTTCGACTTTTTTCAATTCATTTTGTTGTATCGATGTTTTGTTGTATCGCAAATGTTGGGAATAATTCAAATTCAATCAATCATCCGGTGCATCTGGCATAGAAGTAACAAGTCTGCTTGAGAAGGCAAAAGCTTGTTGTTCGAAACCGGACTGGCCCGTATTTTTCCACAGAAAGGAGCTAAGCCGACAAAAATTCCCAAGCTCCTTGTAAAGCTTTTAGTGGTTCAGGTAATTTTGTTCTGGAACTCTTTGGCTTTTCTTGCAATTTCTTTAAATTTTTATGAAAAACGATTTGTCAATGTTTTTTTTTTTTCAATTATTGATTTTTCTTTTAACTTGATTTTAATCACATTCACTTATAGTTGCATCGCAAGTGGTGCGAAGCTCAGCTTCTCCTCTGTGTAAGCTATTTGATTCCTGCCAAATGGAAAAAAAGTTTTGGTAGTTAATTTTTTTAATCAAAAATATTGTTCAAATTTCTTTTAATCGAAATGTAGACTTTTACCAGTTAACATAAATCACACATGACGGATTTTTCTTATGTGGTAAGCTGTTTTCTGCGTAGTTGCAAATATAGTTGATTTACTCCTGCAATTCTTATTTTAGCTAACCCTGACTTAGTAATATTTCCTTCGTTTTTCTTTCGCATAAAAACTTTTTTCGGCAGGAATACTTTCGGCTGAGGCTTTATGGGCACAGTCAGCATGAGGCTTTGTCACATAATCAAATCTGAGATGAAAAGTTCCATTGAAAGAGCAGGTTGCGATAGTTGTTCCTGCAGAAGCAGCGATTCGTTAATTTTTTGTGAGAAATGTTATCTTGGGAAAATTGATTATCTCAAAATTTCTTACCCTTCTTACTTATTTAAGCAGAGAAACAACCAATGTTTTAGGCAAAGTCCAATTTTTGAAATCACTCTTTTCGTGCCTTATCAGTACAGCAAACTCATTCAATATTAAACACGTACCTTCAGCTTTAGCTGGATCTGTAGTTGCTTTTATCGAGCCCTACGAAAATTCGAAAGTTCGTTGATGAAACATCGATGATTAGTCTCTGAACATTTCATTCGTCTCTGAACGGTTTATCGACGATTAGTCGCGCAAAAATGTATTGATGATTCATAGATAATTCATCGATGAGTTATTTGATGGTTCATTGCTGAGCTAGGAACTGTCGATTGTCATTCATAAATCAACGCTAATCTACGAAATACAGAGACGATTTATATTATCCAGACAAAAACGAAAAAAAAAAAATGATAAGAAAACGAATTTTCCTCAAATTGGGTTGATTTTAGACAAAAATTCACGAAGTTACAGCTTGCTTAGATTTTTAGCAGAATTAATATGATGCAATATACTCTGCGGAAAAAAGCCCAAACTTTTACCTCAAAAACAATCGTTTTTGGTTTTTTAGTCTATCAGAAATTACGCTAAGACTATTAGTTCGATTGCTGACAAAACAACACAACAGTGAGCTTCTTGCGTAGCCTAGCAAAGTTTGACGAGGGTATAATCTGCAAAAGTCGACGCGCAACGTTAGATAATTTTCCCAACAATTGAAATAACAGTGTTAGAGTAAGTTTTGATTATTGACTAAAAAAGCCAAAATAATCGTTTTTGGGTAAAAAATAAAAAACGTTGGGTTTTGCTTTCGCAAAATAAATTGCATCATATTGAATCTGCGAAATTTCTAAGCCAGGTTTGCTTGCTTTCACCATTTTTTGTCTAAATTATTTCAGTTTGAGAAGAACATTTGTTTAAATTGTCAATTGTTTTTCGTTTTAACCGGAAAAATCAAATCAGTAACAATGAATCATCGATGATTATCTATCATTGAATCTTGTTTTGATATAAAAGCTTTTTGATACATTTTGAAAGCTGAAGCCGTTTGAAACTCTCACTGCTTGAAAACTCAAAAATTAAGTTTTTCCAGAAAAAATTCCGTCACTTCTTCCGGGTCTTGTAGTCGTTTACTTTTACCAACTGTCTTATGGCTATAGTCCTGTTTCAGGTTGTTTCAAAATTTCTGCGCGGTATTTCTGCGTAAATCTTCGAGTAACTTTTTAAAAACGGTATAGATAATACAGTCCTGGATGTTTCTTGCTGGACAAGAGTTCTTATGAACAAGAATTCTTGTTTAAGCGTTGATGAGCGTAGTTCAGACTCTTATATAGTTCGCGATGATTTTTTTCGTTTCGTTTTTTTTTTCCGGAAGTCTTAAAATTTTTTCAGGCTCAAATTTAATTCTTCGAGGTTTCACTTTTGATTTCTTTGTTATTTTAGTTCATTTCCATTGTTAAAAAGAAGGCAAACTCCACCATCGAACAGCGAAAGTGTAAAGGTAACGAAAAACGTGATCAAGTTCTAGTTCGAAAATGGAATTTAGTTTTCAGATTTCTAAGCGGAATTAAATTTTATCTACTGATCCAGTTTTCTCAAATTGGGTTAATTTTATCTAAAAACTGTCAATCATAAATTGTTCTAGAAATTCAAGGAGCTTTAAGGCCATCTGCGTTCATCGACTTTTCTAACTCTGTTGGCTTTGTTTATGGTTGGGTTAAATAAGTCGCACCTAATTGAAAAATTGATAGAACTGAATAAACTTAAATTGTTGTTTTTGAAATTTGTTTCTTGGATAAGTTGTTAAGAGGTTAAGTGATGATGAATCAATTGCTAAATTGTTTGGACAATGATACTTTTTTTTGCTATCAGGCAGATGAATTATTGTCCAGTTTCACATTTAGGAGAAAATGACTTCAATTTTGGGAAATATCTATCAGCCACCACAAACACAAACGTCAGGTTATTTCGAACGACTGTAAAACTTTATTCAAATATAAGATTTCCTCATAATTGTTCAGCTAGGGTTTGCATTTTAAAATACAAATCCACTTTTTTGTATCCAACGTTGAATAATTTTCTATCTCCATTTAGGTCATCTGAATTCAACATCTGGATGTTTGAACTAAGTTCGGCTAATTATCTGGTTAAAAAGATGGTCAGTGTTGTTGAATGAAGAGTCGAAGTCTTTACCATTTTTTAGCGCTGCAACTTGATAGTTGTCATATTCCAGATCCTGTAAGATGAAAATCGAACCTGATCAAGACGAGGGCCATGACCCGTTAATTGTCAACAGTATCTTAGCTGCCTTTTCAAATTTCCCCAAACCAGAAGTTGAATATTTGCTTCTTGAATCGGTTGATAACAATAGTACTATACCCTTCATTGAGAGATATCGAAAAAGTCATGTTCAGAATCTGAGCCCGAATGATATGCGCGAGGTTCTTGAAACTTACGAAGAATTAAATCAAACTAGAAAAGCTAGTTTGAATTTTCTGAAAAAGAACAGAACATCGTTGCTGAAATCGGAAGAATCTGTGCTGTCGAATTGTGTCGTAAAAGATGAGTTAGATCAAGTAAAAGAATCATTTAAAGCTCGCACTAACAAAAAATGGACAGCAGATCATCAGAATTTGGTAGACAATGTCGTTGAGGATGTTCTTAGAGGTGTTTTGAAGTATGAAGATGATGTAAACCGGAGGCTAAAAGGTAAGAGAGATTTAAAGAAAATTATAATCGAGAGCAAACGCCGTATTATTGCTTCAAATTTTGGTGAGATGATTGTCCCCCAGGAAAAATTGCTGAAATACCATTTTTCCCAATAATTTTTTCCCCCTCTATTCTTGTCTAAACAATCAAAAATGTTTTAAAGTCAAAATGAACGTTTTTTACGCTTACGGCTGTTAATTATGACTGTGCTTGAAAATGTGGTCTCATGTAAACAATCTCTCCCCCCCCCCCCCTCCTCCCCCCAAGTAGACTAAGTCAACTATATTATCTCTATCCAAAATCTCTCATTCGAACTTTGCAAGTTTTTGTTTTCGACAGAAAAATAGGCAAAAAAATTTTTTAATGGCTTTTTCTGATTGAAAAAAAGGAAACACTTTTTCACGGTTTAGGCAAAAAAAATCAGATTCAATTTCCAGAAGTTTCGTTTTGCGCAAATTACTTCCAAAAGTTTCGTTTGCGCTGATTGACTGAAAGATAAACAATTTGTTCCAATAACTAAGTGAACTTCATTCTACCTAAAACCGATTTTTCGAGAAGGGGGTGGTTGAGGTGGCGAGACCGTTCAATTGCTCCAAAATTTGTTCCATTTTGAAAAAAAATTATTGTCCAGAACATAACGTCAAAGAATTTCGTGCTACTTTTACGGGAAAGTGGTATTGTTTTTAACAACTTTGATCCAATTAACCAAGTTCCTGATTGTAGCGCAAACTCTACCAAATTTTGCGACTATCCTTTTTTCACCTCATTCTGGAATAGTTTTTCTAAGAGCGTTGGTTGATTGACCCAGCTGAAGCCCAAATCAGCAATAGTGTTAAACGGGCTGAAAGTTTAAAGTCACTGATGGCCCTATTTAGATTTTTAAAAAGGTATCTCGGTAAGCATCATCTCGATGCACAAGAAACGTGTCTAGTTATGCTTGTCTATGCTTTAATAATTTTTGTCACCAGACAATTTTTGTATTCAAGGTTGACTAAAAAATGTTTTACTTCAGATTTTCAACAAGAGAAGCCGAACGAAATTGTGAACCTCGTGAAAGCATCTGTAGTAAATCGACTAATTGCCGAATGCTTCGAATACTTAAATAATGTCAAGTCATCTGTTATGACCGACAGTCGGGTAATGTTGCAGAGCGAATTGAAAAAAACTTCGAAAACTGATAAAAAGACCCCCAAATCGGAAAAGAAAGAAGATAACGTCGAAACTTATGCGCCGTACCACAATTTTCGAAAGCCAGTTTGTAGAATGATGTCATATCAGGTTATGGCTATCAACCGAGGCGAGACGCACAAAATTTTGAAGGTTTCAATTGATATTCCAGTCAATTATGAGAACTCATTTTACTCATTTGTTCAAAACTATCTAGCGTGCACATACAAAGTTATGTTAGATAATCATAAAAGTTCAGTTCTAACTGCGTGTGTTAGTGATTGCTTTGTTAGAGTAAAATCCAAAATTACCAGGCATGTTCGCAGCTGTTTGAAGTCGAAAGCCATCAAAGACTCACTAGAAACGCTTCAAAAAAATCTCAAACAGACTTTGGCTGCTGAGCCCGTGAAAACCGGAGTTATAATGGGAATCGACCCTGGTTTCAAAAATGGGTGTAAAATTGGGATTATTGACAATAATAACAGAATATTATTCACTGGAAAGTTGAATTTGACGACTAGTGTCAATGGGCAAGATGTGAAGTTGAAAGAACTGTTGGATCAGTATGAAGTTGGTTACATCGCCCTTGGTAATGGAACTGGTTGCAACCAAGTCGAAAGCTTGATATGTATACTTTTGACAAGTGAGTCATGTTTTCTTTCTGTTTGAAGTTTTTTTTGGTAAGAAAAAGAAATCCATCTGAATAGAGCGTTTCTGAAGTTAACGTTTTGATTTTGTTTTGTTTTACGTGTCAAATAGCGAAGTGAAAGATCTTATTCAGGTCATATGGTAATTTCTTTCGTTATGTTTTCAGGTTTTGTTTTCGTATAAATTCTTTGGTTGTTTGATTGTTCATTTTTCCTTTGTTTAATGGAAGGCAAACTAAGCTATGTAATACAAAAATTGCCAATTGCTAAAAAAACGTGAATGACTCTTAGTTCAATAGTGGCTTTTTAGTTTATATTTTTTTCGGCATTATATAATGTTTTTCAGTATTCTTGAATTCATTGAAACGTTTCCAGTTGTCAGTTAGCTATAATGTGTAAGCGTGCTGAATTGAATTATCTGAACTAAACGAACAAAATTTGAAATTTTAAACGGGTTTTTCTCAAATTGGGTTAAGATAAGGCAAAAAAGGAAGAAAACAAAAGTTGCTGTTTTTTCTCCAAAATTCTCAACCAAAGTTTTATCTCAAAAAGGGTTCATTTTAGTTTTTTCAATTAACCAAGAATTACGCCGAAACTACCTTTTTTTACCACGAAACTACCTAGTTAATTGATGAGAAAATTATAAAAGAAGCTTCTCACACAGTCCAACAAAGTTCTAAACGGCTTAGTTTTCCAAAAAAAAACTATATAAGAGAATTTTTTTGTTTGATAGTTAAAAATCAATATACTATATAAAAATCAAAATCTTTGCTTTAAAGCTTTCTCTTTTTTTAACCCGGTAGTTTCAGCGTAATTATTGATTATTTTAAAAAGCCAAAATGACCAATTTTTGGTACAATTTTGGTTGAGAATTTCGGCGAAAAAATTGCAGCATAATAATTCTGGTGAAATTCTAAGCAACTTTTTTTTTCTTTTTTTGTCTCATCTTAACTCAATTTGAGAAAAAGGTTTTTGAACCAGCACTGCAATTCCTATCAAAATCAGTTTTGTTAAACTAGTTTCTGAAGTTTGAGCCTGATTTTTATGTTTCTAAAAACTCTTTGTTCCCAGTCTCTTCGCGTGGTGGGGAGAAACTATGGTAGAACGTGTTTTTATTTCGGGTCGATTGTGACCAACTCAAAAAAGTTCTCAGGTGGTCAATTTTGGAATCATGATGAAGATATTTCAGCCGTGGTTCGGATTCGAAAAAAAAACAATTGAAAAAGCTGCTTTAGTTTTGAGAAAAACTGGTCTAAATTTTCAGACTAAATTGTACACTTGGAAAAGAGACAGAACGTTGTTTTAACTCTTATTACTATTAATTCTAGCATTTTTCATCTAATGCAATTGATCTTTCGAGAAAAAAGTGACAGAAAATTGGGATAAAGAAACCATTTATCTGGTGCTAGTTTTTATCGGCCTACTTTGTGAAGCATTGATTTTTTTTTATACTAAATTTTTTTACAGTAATTGAAAGTTCTTTAATTTGTCATGTTACCAAGTCTGATTATGAGCAATTTTGTTTTTTTTTCTAAAGTTTTTTTTGACCAAATGGTTTCGCCTGATGTTTAACTGGCTTTTTCAACCTATATTGTGTTATGTAAACGGCCACAAAATTCATTTTCGACAAAATCAGGTATTATGAAAATGTATGGGATAGGGTTTTTTCATTTTTTCTTCTTTGAGAATTTTCGAAAATTTTTCGGAAAAATTTTAGCTCAGTAGAAAACTACTCTACCGTATTTCAAAACAGGCATGTCAATCTAAAGTCTGCCTAATCCCCTGTGTGCATAATCTTCTCATCTCTTTATACTTTACACTACTGTCTACAGCCTTCAATTTTTTTTGGATTTTTTTCCTTTTCTCAGAAAATCTCCTCCTAAATCTTGGATTTTGGGTTCAATTGACAAAACAGGTTATTGGAACTTCCGTTGCATAAACGGCTACGCTCAAATTTTTCTCCACAAAAAGTCATGGCCCTCGGAATAGTCAAATGTTTGATTTTTTGACCGTTTTTTTATTCTTTTTGACTTATCTCGAAACCTACCCGCCCAACTCTGAGATTTTGGATTAATCAAATTAACAGATTGTGAAATGCTCCCCTGCATAATCCTGTTACACCCAATTTTTTTTGTTTCGCAAAAGTTATGGCCATCGGAAAAGTCAATAATTGGTTTGCTGTCTTTTGAAACTATTCGACTCTTCTCGAAAACTGCCATTTCAAATCCCAAGTTTTTGACTTCAATCGAAACAGCAGATTGTGTGTTTCTCTTCTTTCCAGTGGCTACTTTCAAATATTTTCTAAAAAAGTGTGATTTGTAATAAAAGTTAAATTTTTGATTTATTGACAGTATTTCGGAAACTTTTTGTCTTTCTCGAAAACTGCCCTGGTTTTGGGAATTTTGGGAACCCCGGTTTTGGGAATTTTCTGCTTAATCGGCCACGACCTTCTTATTGCAGAAGAAGTTATTGATTTCGGAAAGTCAAGTTTTTGAATTTTTGACGTATGTAAATTTTTGATTTATGTGTCATATAGCTCTCAAAACTGCCAAAGTACAATTCAGCGTAATAAAGGAAACGTTTACTCTGACTATTTGATTTCACAGGTTTGACTGTAAAGATGATCTATCGGCGAGGTTGTTGCTTTTTCCAAGACTTGTATTAAATTTTTGGTAAGATTCCAGTTATGTAATTTTTTTTGATCTTGGATAGTTTTCTTCATTTCTTTTCTCTTTCATCATGTTATGAACTATCGGCAAATCGGCGGTTTTTGTTCTAATGTTTGCAGATATTCGAGGGCCAACCGAACCTAAACTTACTACAATTGGCGAGGCAGGAGTTTCAATTTGGAGTGTGAGCTCGGAGGCCGAGAAAGAGTTTCCTAATATGGAAGCAGGACTTCGAAGTGCAATCTCATTGGCCAGACGACTCAGAGATCCAATCAGCGAGTTGTCTCGGGTACCTCCGCAAAACTTATCAGTCGGACAATATCAACACGACTTGCCGAATGCAAAGACAGTGATTTCAATGAAAGACACTCTTCAGGTTCGTCTGCTTTTCTGAACGGCTGATTTTTTTCAGAAATCAAGCGATTTTTTTTAAAGCATTTATCGCGAATTTTGCATCTGTTTTCTGTAACAAGAACTAATACTCCGTATTATTACCTTCGCGATAAGCAAGGGTGTTGCAACCGGGTTCTAGGCTGTTTTTCCTGTTAACAACATTGTTCACAGGATGACTAAAATTTTCGTCATCTTCAAAACTGTACTTTCGTTAACTAACAGACAAGTTTTCTGAGCATGTCTGCTTTTTAGATGCCCATTTTTTTTATGCTGCTTGTTACTTTGCCAACTCCAATTTCAGTATATGGTTTTATTTCGTTTTTTTGTTGTTTTTTTTTTCGTTATTTTTTCTCCAGCTCAAATTAAGTATGCTCAAGAATTGTCGGCTTTATTACCGCTTTGTTAATTTTGTTTCGATGCTAATTTCAATTACTTTATTTGGCATTTTTTGAGAGGGTTTTTGTTTCGAACAAAATCAAGGCGACGATATGAAGGTTTTGGTCGATCCATTATTTTCGACAAATTTTTAAAATTTTCATTAAATTTTTTCAAATTTCCAAGTGTTTTGTGTGTGTGTGTATGGTTGTGCTTCGAGGGGAGGGGACTAAACTTTTTTGTAGGTTTTAAGAATTTTTTTGTCTCAAACGTTTTCTGCTCATTTGGCTTGGCATGTTTTAAAAATTAGTTCTTTTCATTTTGATAGATCTGGTTTGTTTCGAAGTTTTTGATTTCTTTTTTTGACTTAGCGGCTTTTCTTGTATTGTCGCCGCTGTGAACCTAACATTGAAATCCAAAATTCCCTCGAAAATTGCCATGAGAATGAAGTTAGAGGAAACTTGGTTTTAAACGCTATGAACTTCAAAAAGTTTCAACCTAGAACTTTGAACTAACTGTATTTTTGAAGTTTTGCTAAATTATTCAGTACTGTTTTTGTACAGGAGTTTGTGTCTTTCTCTGGCGTGGATCTGAATACAGCAGGTGCACATGTGCTTCAACATGTCGCTGGGTTGGGACCTGGTCTGGCTGAAAAAATTGTCAAGTGCAGAGAGAATATGCCAGATTGCAGATTCGTATCGAGGTATTCAATAAAGATTTGTATTAGTATTACTCAGTTCTTTCAATCCGTAATCTTAAACGACAATTCTTTTTTTGGAAATGACACTTATATAATTGCAGTAGTTCAAAAACTTTTTCACACTCGCGACCAGCATCGAAATTTTTAAACGATTTCAGACTTTTAAGTTAAAAGTTTAAATTTCACTCATTACGTTAAAATATAAATTTCAAATTTCCTAGCTTTTCAGTCTTCTGATACATTTAACTTATTTCTAGTAGCATCAAGTTTTTCAATATAATTTGAGGTTTTTGGACTGATAGTTTTTAATTGAAGTTTTGTGGGTTTCATTCACATTATCAATTTGAACATAGATTTCAGGTGATTCAAAGAACAGCGACCTGTTTATAAAAAGCTGTCAGTGTTAGACTATGTTTTCGAGTAGTTGTTCTTCTGTTTTTCTGTTTTTTATGGAGTTTTTGCTCCGATATAAGTTTTTTTAAAGCCAAGTTTACATTTACTGCCTCTAAGTTTTATTTTGAGCCGTAATAGATAATTTCCCATAATTTTGGTTGTGTAGTATAGGATCTAATATTTTTTGTTGCTGCTATTTGGAAAAATTTTTCTCTTGCCTTTTATTCCCATCAGGTCACGAAGTGACTGGAAGGGACTATGGAGTAGGGTGGATTTTTTCATGCAATTTTTTCTACTATATAAAAAAGTTCTGTTCGCGTCACGCGTTGTATCATGCTTGAGGCATGTAAGTTGTGATTCCGATTTCGAAAGAAAAAAGAATGAGAAACTGTTGTCGCAGTGTCAAGTATGTATGTTTAATTTAGTTATTGTTCCGACCATTTGGAAAATGGGGAGCAACTTTGTATTCGGGTGTTTCTCTTTTTTCCATGCAAAATCAGGTACGACTTAGAATCATCAAACTGGGTTGAAAGATATATGACATGGAAGTTCTTTTAGTCGTGGTTCGAACGACATTAAACATTTTCCCAGTGTCGAGAAAAACCGGTTTGAGATTTTTGATTTTTCTTTTAATTTTGACCGAATGAAGCGAACGAATGAAGTGATGATAACTTGTTAAATTGGTTACTTAGGCTTAAAGAACTTAATTTTTGCCAACGAAAACTACATTTGAAAGCTTTATCTGGCACATCCCTGACAAAAACAAACGTTCTCAAAAAATAATAAAAAATATAGTGCAAAAAAATGTAGTTTTTCGTTTTTTGTTTGTTTGCAAAGAACAGTTGTCAATTATTCCTAGTTTTCTAATTTTTCACGCAAGTGTATCTCATCAAACCACGCACAAAAGACGACCCTCATTTGATAAACGTATTAATTTGAAGAATTTTTATTAGTAGTTTTTATGAATGTGGCCGGAACATTATGTGCTACTTGCAAGCAACCGGCTATTCTTAATCGAATGGTTTTCAGTTAGCGAAACGAATGATCAGCGTTTTTTGGAAAAATTTTCACTCAATCTCTTTGTGAAGTTTTTCGAAATTGCAAGAAACTTTATTTCGAAACCTTTTGAAGTGTCCCTGCCTGAACGTAGTGAAGACGCTTATATAGTTCGTGATGTTTTTTTTTGATTTTTTGCGGCTTGACTTATGATTTCTTTTCAAGTTTAGTTTATTTTTTTTCTACAGAAAACTTCATTTCGAAAGCTTTTGAAGAGTCCATGAACGTAGTGAAGACGCTTATATAGATCGTGATGATTTTTTTTGCGGTTGACTCATGATTGTTTTTTTCAAGTGCAGTTCACTTTTTTCTAAAGAAGGCGAGCTCATTTATCGAACAGCAAAAGTGTAGAGGTCACAAAAAAGTGATCTAATTCTAATTTCGAAAGTGGATTTTAATTTCCTGATATCCTAGCGGAACAAAAACTTTATTTATTGTTCTAAATGGAGTTTGTTCATCAAATATTTTTCGAGCATAGGTTTTTCTTGAAACTCAAAGAGCTTCATGGTCATATATTTTTAGTTGGAAATTCGAAAGTTAAAAAAAAAACAAGTCGTTTTTTATTTCCTTGTGTTCATTGACTCCTTTCCAGCTGTCTTTTCGCTATGTTCGATAAACAAGAAATGGATGCTTTGATTTTTAGAGAGCAATTGAGAAGTGCAGTTAAGGGACTGGGAGAGAAGACGTTTGAGCAATGCGCAGGGTTCGTCAAAATATACCCAAGTTGCCAGAACCAAAGTGTAATTGAATCTAAAATCAGGTATTACATAAACCTTTCATATTTAATTCAATTACAAATTTTGATCGGTAATGATGTTTAATTGTTCATTTATTCTAAAAGGCTTAAAAAGTAAAAAAATAATGTTATTTGTCTTGAAAAGCGTCCATTGAGTTTTTTGCAATTTTAACAAAAAGAAAAATTACATATCCAAGCCAAACAGTTTCGCAAGAATTCACTTCCTGTTTTGTTTTTCTAGAAAGATTGGCCAAAAATGGCAATCGGACAGCAGAACAGTAAATGATGACGATCCAAGTGCGAAGAAACGGAAAACTGGGACTGCGAAAACAACAAAACAGAGTAAAACTGGCGAGAAATATTTCGAAGAAAATCCATTTGACGTGACGAATATACATCCCAGTATGTATTCTATAGCAGAACAAGTCCTTCATTGCTTGAGCATGAACAAAATTTCATCAGATGATATTTTAAACGGCGTTGTGAGCAGAACAATTTCACGAAAGCTGAATGAAATTGAAAGTATGCGACAAAAGTACAAATTGATGGACAAGGATATTTTGAACGATTTCGAGTTTGTTGTGAAATGTTTGTCGTTTTCAGAGCAAGACAGGCTGAACGAAATGAGTAATCTGAAACGAGCGAGAGTTTTCATTGACCGAAAAGAAGCGCTGAAAAAGTTTTCAGGTTCAACTAACGAAGAGGTTAAATTAAATTCAGAATATGCTGGAAAGGTTGTTAATGTCACAGATTTTGGCGCGTTTGTTGAATTGAGGAACTGTTGCGATTTAAAGAGTTCGAAAGTTGTAGGATTGGCCCCCATGTCGCTAAATGGACCTGGATTGATTCAATCGCTTCAAATTGGACAAAATGTACAAGTGAAGGTGACAAAAATTGATGTTGTAAAAGGACATTTTACTTTAAAAATTATTGAATGATGAATTGTTTTGAGTTTGTTTATATTGGTTTACTATTTAATATTGGTGAGAAATATTATTAAGAGTAATTTTTTATACGCTGAAGTTATGGAAAATAATTTTAAACGCAAGTAATGCAAAGCTCCGCTTTGCCTCTGTCAGTTTCTTGCACTTTTTTTCACCTCTGTGTTAAAGTTAGTTTTGGTGAATTTTGCAGATTTCTGATTGGGTGAGTTTTAATTAGGACATAGTTCACTAAGTTGATGCCATTTATTGTGGGGGAGGGGTGATGGCTAATTGCAGCGTTTAATTTTTATGATTTCACTTTACTAATAATTTAAAATGGCTTCTGATCAATTCAGATAACTTAATCGTTAGTGGTTTTGAACTACTGGATTAAAGCCACGGTCAAAATAGATATATTTTGTTTTGTTTGTTGCTTTTTGTTGAAGGAGTCTTTGTACAGGAAATAAATATATGAAACCGAGCCTTATTTTTAATAGTAGCCGATTGCAGTGAATCTGGCATAAAATACTCTGACCACAGTTATCAAAGGAAATAATTGAAAATTGGTTAATTTAGAAAAAAGGGTATTTTAAATCTTCACAAAAAAAAATCTGTATCATCAGATCTACAGATCATTTTATGCAAACATAATAATCATTTATTTTTATTTTGAGGGGGGACGCTTTCTGGGGTGCAGAAAAATTGTTCTTCGGTTGACTCCAAGAAATTTTTTCGAAAATTTGTTTGGGAAGCCAAATCACAGCTGAAAAGTTTCAATATGATACATCATAGACCCCTGTGACCTTTCTTTGATGTAATCAAAATTGGCTCAAAAACGCCTTATACCAAGCTTGGAATGAGCGTAGCGTAATGTTATATTGAGGAAACCGTGTTTTTATAGAACTCAAAGTTTAAGGGCAAAGAAGTTTCAATGGCAAAAAATACTCAAAGTTTCAAGGGCAAACCAAATAAGGACAGTGTCAACAGAGTTTGATCCAGTTGGATCACTGTAAGTTCGTGAGCATGATGGTTTGGGGCTCGAACTCACTAGAAGTCAGAAATCTTCATTTTGAAGCAACTTATTTGAAAGAGTCGATGAATGTAGTTCAGACTCTTATACAGGTCGTGATAATTATTTTTCATGAATTGGTTTTAAAATTTTTCAAGCTCAAATTCTTATTTTATCGCTATTTGACTTTTGATTTTTTTAAATTCTTTTGCTCTCCTAAGATGAAGGAAAACTCCGTTATTGAACGGCAAAAGTGTAAAGATCCAGAAAGACATGATCGATTTCTGATTTCGTTAGTGGATTTCAGTTTACAAATTTTTCCTTGATCTACTTTTCTCCAATTGGGTTACATTTATGAAAAAGCGTCCAAAAAATTTTTTCAGGAAATTCAAAGAGATTAGTTAAAGGCCCATCGACTTTTTTCTTCGAATTTCGAAAGTTGAGATTTTTTTGATAAACAAGTGAGTATGTTTTCTATTTCTTTGCTTTCTTTGACTCTTTTCCACTTGTCTATTGGCTATGCTTTTAAACCAGCTTCATTTTTCGAAGCATCGACTGTCTTTTTTATGAAGTGCAGCCTCTAGACTAGTTGACCGATTGCAACTAAAACATTGACAGCAATGTGAGAACGGATATTTAAACATAGTAACCGATTAATTTAAAATTTGCCCAGAATGGTTCGACCACCACCAACTCAAAAAAACGCTTAATCAGAAACGGCAAAAATATTTCATGTTTAGCTCCAATTTAGATGAAATGAAAATTTATGTGAAAAGGCAAACAAAATTTTCAATGTTTTACTTAGAAAATGACTTACCATTTGAAAATTATTCTGAAAAATTTGTATTTTGACCAGTGATTATCGTCACCTAAAGTATTTTAAAATATTTATGAAAACCGTTTTTCGATGTTTCTGAAATTAGAACAAGAAAATACATCCTACGCAATAATTCTTCAAAACTCTTTTGACTATGGTCGAAACAAATAACGTAACCGTAGAATTCAGTAGAATTTTCCGATTGTCCTTTAAAATCCTAAAACATCCATGCAAGTGACGTGCTTGGCTCTTATCGGCTGAAAAAGTTAGGTTTCTAGTATTTATTAAAAAATTTGTGTGCATTTGTTTGAAATAAATAATTAAGAAAATACAATCTAAAGTAAATGATTGTTTAACTAATTTGGATTGGGTATCTTGAACCGCGCTTCTAATTTTATTCAGCTAGTCAAATTGGCATCAATTACAGCGCAGTTTGAAAATGTTTTCTCGACAAGATTGTTGACAAAAAAAATTCTCAAAAAAAGTTGGTTTTCAAATAATCAAAATGGCGGAAAGTCAATTATTTCAACAAATCTAAAAGCAACACCATTTTTGCGAATCGCAGATAAGTGGTTTTTATTAAAGTCGACAACAGATTGATTAAGTGCAAAAAAAATAAAATATTGACCGCCCATTAAAAAAGCACTTAAGCAAATTAATCTGAAATCTACTTGTAGCTGTTTCTTTTTTTGTTCGAAATAACCCATTTGACAATGCCAAAGCGTTGTAAGAACTAACTTAGTCTGACGATCATCCGTTTAGCAGGAAGCTGGACTAGAACGAAAGTTTGAGAGGCTCAAAACGTATCAACTGGCATGAATTTAATGGCTTATTTGTCAAATATCGGCAATAAAAACAATAATGGTCGTATCAGGGTGAAACTCTCAAACATCCGACTGTCTTTAACGTATATAAAATTGTTAGTTTAAAAAAAATGAATAACTTTTCAAAAAAATCAAATGTTTTTAGATTTTATTTATGAAAATTATCCCTCACGCGCTGTAAAGTGTTAGTGATATGCTCCGCGTAAGGCCAAGTATTATTTACACTAAAAAGGTTGCGTTAATTTTCGGACTGATTTTCGAACAGGATTAAACCGCAGCATACGCGTTAGTAACACGAAATAGTTCACTCGTTAATTAACTCAAACGGATTATTTTTAAGCGCCCGTAACCTTGGAAAAAATGGTATCAGGTAAAATGTTTTCTAATGATATTTACGCTTGCGAATAGTTTGAAAAATTCCTTGGAAAATTGCTAGCCAAGTAGACGAAATATGTTTGAATAAAAAAAACACTTGAGTAGAAATATTCCGTCACTTTCTTCGAAAGTCGGAATTATAGTCTGTTCAGTCATTATGTCAACAAAAATTGGACTACGATTATTGAAAACTTCGAAATCAGGGGCTTACACAGATAATTACTTTGGGTGAGAAGATTTCTTTGAAAAACGGAGTCGGTTTTTTATGTTCAGCTATTCTACTTTTTTGAGCTCTGGCAAACAACTAGAGCGACCATATTTGGCAATAATGACTAGCTTTCAAATCAAAACGTAAAGTAAATTTTCAGGAAATAATTTTTCCTAAATTGATTCAATTAACAGCTGTTACCTGTAGAAATCATTGTTTTAGGTAAATATTCAAGTGGTTAAGGAAATCCTTCCTCCAAAGTAAATGAAGTTCTACCTCAAAAACTTCAAAATGTGCTTTTGATGGAAATTCTTATTTTATTACACTTGCGAAAGCAAGTGTCTAGTAATTGGCAACAAAATTTTTTTTCTGTAAACAATTTTTATTCAAATCCTGGTCACTGTCGCTTTTTTGGTTTATTATTGAATCTCAGAAAGTTCCAGCCTCGTTCCTTTTTGGCGTAGAAGTAACTCCTTTGCATTTGCGCTCTAAGGCAAGGAGTTTGAGTCCCGCCCGGAATTTTTTTTCTGTATAAACACAATTGATTTTTTTCCCGGTAAAATTGAACTGTTGGACTTCTTTTGTCTGCTCAAGTTTGGTCGCCTTAGTTGCCTCATCACAGATTTTCTTGTGCTATCAGCCATTTTATTTTTACTGGCAACTGTTAATCTTTGTAGTTGCAGATCCAAGGACAAGGGCCTCCAAATCGCTATAGCTAAAATTTCGTTTTTCAAGGCTTTCTTTTCCAATTTCACTATACAGAGATGCGTTTTCTCGCTAGTGTTTGTCTTTTTTACCGCTAGTGTTTGCGAAGCGCAGCTTAGCCTCTAGGTTGTATTTTGTTAAGCACTTAAATGAACATTTTAATAGCGTTTTAAACGTAACAGAGCTGTTGTTTGAATCGGTTCAGGCTTTGCCTAGAATTTTTTTCTGAAAACAACTTTTTCAATTTGATTTCTAATTTCGTCGACATAATTTTTTCCTATCGAGACAATGCCATTTTAGCTGTTATGTCAAAAATGCAAGATCAAATTGCACTTTTAAGCTGGCTCACATTTGAAAACAATCCAACTCAACTTGCAACTTCCTTTTTACAATCAGCTGTGATCGGCACCGGTTGTGTGCGTATTAATTTTTGTGCAGATGATGAGGGCTTTTTGGCTTCATTGGTTAGTTTTGGTTTTTTCTAATACATGACCCAAATTATCAAACTTTAATTTGAGTTTCTGATTTTATTGAAAACGATGTGATCTCTTTTCGCTAATTACGCTTGCGATTAGCAAGCGTTATAAAATCGGAATATAGATTTTTCGGGATAATAACTACCTTAACAAATTCTTCGAGTCACTTGCGCAGCATTCAAATCTGCAGCAAATATGCTCAATTTCTCGAAAATTCAAATTTAACTACTGGTTTCGAAAACTCATTGACGGCTAAGGGCCTTGGTCAGCAGCTGTTTTTTTAAACCGAAAGCATTTAGTATAGTAAAAACCATGGTCCTATTAGTTGTCTGCTTATGTTTTATCGGCTTAGTTTCCACATTTCTTACCTTTCTTGTGCTCTAAGCTAATTTTATTGTGAATGAATGTCTTTAATTTTTTTACCCTTGAGATAAGCAAGGGTATTGCAATCGGGTACTAGACTTTCTCCCGTAAGTCATTTCTTCACAGAACGGTCAAAGTTAGAAACGGTGTTTTTAGTTCCAGTTCATAATAATTTCAAATTTCTATGTGTCTCCGGTACACTTGGTATGGAGGTAACAAATACGCCTGGGACAGCAAAGATCGTAGGTTCGAATCTGATAGGACCTGTTTTTTTTTTTCAAACGGGAAATAATCTGTTTGAAAGAAACGTCTGTTTGAAAAAAAATTGTTTGTCTGCTTTTGTTTTGTCGGTGTAGTAGACACATCGTAGAATTGTTTTTCTTTCTATACACAATCTGCATTGTAGTTGCTCTTATTGTTTTGATTTACATCGGCTGTTTGTAATTTCTTTCAGATGATATTTTAAACGGCGTAGTGAGCAGAAAAATTTCACGAAA